CTAATGTGCCCTCTTATATTCTGAGAGATGGAGAAGATGGTTATTATGGTCTCTTTATTCTGAGAAATGGAGAACCAGTTTGCAGCAATTTTAAGAATTTGCTTAGATTTTTCTCCAAAGTTCAATGTCCTGGGAAACAGAGCTAGTATAGCTCAAACAATCTTCAAATTTCAAGTAGCTGCAGAAAACATTAGTAAGTATGGCATTTATTTCTATTTGTTTTCCTCTCCTTGTTAATAAGAAAAGATACCTGGAGCTTTGGAGTTTTCTTTTTTCTCTCTCCTCCATGCTGTCCCTTGAGTGCCTACCCCCAGCAGGTCCTACCACAGAGGATGAACTATGCGACCACTAGCTATATGTTCAGTAGCTTGTCGCTGACTCCTTCAAGAACTCCAGTTCCAGTTCAGAAAATCAAAGAGAGAAGGGAAGGAACAGACTGACATCCAAGTCAATATAGACATTGTGACTTGTTAAAGGGCGTTATTAAGGGGGGAAATGTAGCAAGAAGAGAGGAGATAGGAGACATGAAGTGAAGGCTGGAGGGGTGTGATTGTGCCTCACGTACAACTGGAGAAATTTCAAGTCCAAGAGAAAGTCCAAGAGAAGCCTGAGATAGAGACTAGGAGCCCAGCCCTGCAGACAGAGCCAGGTGACCTCATCAAGGGCTTTAACCTCTCTGAGCCACCGTTTCCTCAGGGATAATGACACTTGCAATCATTAAATGAGATTATAAGTAAGCAGCTCTTAACACAGTGACCATCACAGAACAAGCACACCATAAATAATAACGGCATCGCTGCTTCAGAGTAGAATCCCCCATGGCAAGAGTGTGCCTGGAGGCCCTGATTCCTCTGCTCAGTCAGAAGTCCCCAAGCACCCCACAGCCTGGACTTCTGACTGCCTGGCTCTGTCTCCCCCATGAAAATGGGATGAAGCTGTGTTCCCGCCACCAACACAGCCCACATCTATACCCTTAATGATCAAGGTACAGGAACAACTGGCAATGCTGGCTGCCTCTGGAAAGGGGATGGTGACTGAATCCATGGTGACCTTTTTCCTGCTTTTTGAAGTATAAGAACATGTTGCCTATTCAGAAAAAAGATTAAAAAATGTTTAAATGCACAGACCAAATTAGTACGTAGCCTGAGGCCATGTGAACCCGGAAGAGGATGGCTACAGACAGCAGCAGTCCCAGTGGCCTTGGGAATGCTCTTGGGAAAATGAGAGGGCAGAGAGTGGAGGTAGCTTAGGGATTAGCAGCTAACTGGGGTCCCTGGAAGAGAGCAGTGAGAGCCAGAGGTGTGTGCACTTCAACATGACAGGAATTCTCTGGGAGTGGCACTGGCTCACAAAAGTCCCAGAAAATGACCTAAGTGGCCTGGTGTCAAGTTCAAGCATGCTTAGGTTGGGATGTGAATTGTCAAGGAAGTGGAATTAAGGGAGGGAAGGAGGAAATATCATCCTGCAGTATAAAGGGATTTCTCACTCAGAGGATCCTTGGGGTGGGATAGAGCTGTGTGGAGTTGCACCTCATTTACTTCTTCACACTTTTGAGGTGATATTACCCCAATCTTAGAGATAAGGAAACTGAGGCTCAGAGAGGTTAAGCAACATTTCCAGAGTGACACGGAAGGTAGTGGAGAGAAGTGGGGTTCAAATTCTGGTCTGGAGTCAAAGCCCACGCCTTCTCACACTGAGACACTAGCCTATTCACCCCCTCTCCCAGTCTGGCCAAATCCTACATAGATCTCAAAAAGGATGGAAGCAGAGGTGGAGTTGGTCAGAGTTCTCAGAAGAGATGAACAGCAGGAGAAAGGAGCTAGGTTAATAAGGGGGGCTTGGGGAGCTGGGAGTACTGAGGACCAGAGATTTGGGGGACAGCAGGTAATCAAAGGGAGGATTTGAAAGGAAAAGGGAGGACACTTTGTGGAACTGGAGGGAAAGTCAGTAACGATCTTACACTTGCAAACTTTATGGGAAGGAGGGACTGTCGGCTGTGCACTTACTCCAGCTGTGCCATTAGTACTACTTAAAAAGTGTTTTCAGAACACCTACTTCTTTGGCATAAGCCTTCAGTCATCTGTAATTTGTCTATGTAGGCAGTGAATCAACACTGATTAAAAATCTGACTGCCAGAAGTTAATGGTCTGTTGGAGGTGGTACATCAATGGCAGCTAATAATTTTTGTTTGGGGGTGGATTCCATTTTGGGAAATGGTCAAGTGGCATTCATAGCCAAGTCTCATGCAGTTGCTTTGGGCTGAGCTGGGCCCCTAAGCTCACTGCTCACATGTCCCTCCAGCCACCTTACCAGGTAGGCAACAAAGTGGGGAAAGTTCATCTGGGCTCATCCTGGTGTGATGTGAGCACAGGCCCTGCAGTCCCTGTGCCATGAGGAGCTGCAGATCTGCTCAGACTGACACCAACAGCCCTACAAGATCGGTGCAGCACTGTGAGGTGGGGAAGCCCTGGTAGGCCTGTTCCAGTCACTCCACTTGTGCTTTGCAGGAGCGAAAGGGTGTGGTCTTGCTCAGAATGGAACAAAAGCCAGAACTGTAGAAAAATAGAGAAGGGGATGGGAGCTATTAAATGAAATGTCTCAATAAAATTTTTTTTTCATATTAGCATTATACAGATGGGAAGGTGAAAGGGAAAAAAGACAAAAGCTATGATTACAAAGGGATAGAGGAAGAGCTGAAAGTACTTTGCAAGTAGGACAGGTCCAGGCACCCTGGAGGGGTGCTGAAGAGACCTGAGAGAAGGCTGTGGTGAGCCAAGGAGGCCAAATACCCTGCCCCACAGCCATTAGACCTCTATGCAGCACAGAAGACATAGAGGGGAAACTGAGGCATCTGCCAATAGAACAATTGGTACCTAGGGTCTGTGTCAAACTGATTCATGAACTGATGGGTGCCAAAGCTAGGTAAGGAGCACACAGTGGTTCATTACACAGGTATCCCCACCCGGGGTTATTATGCTTAAAATAAAAAGTTTATAATAACAAACTAAAGGTCTGTTCCGATCAGGGGAGCTATGAAAGAACCACACACTGCAGGTGGACACTAGCAGAGGAATGTAAGCCAGGGTATAAGCAGACACTGATGAGAATGTGTTGAGGTTTTTTGACACAGCAGATCAGAATCTCTTCACCAGGGAGGGATGGAAAAGCTGCAGGGATCCTCAAGCTCCCTGTAATTGTGTGCAAAGGGACCTGAGAGTTTTCAAGGAATCTGTGACTGTCCCCTCAAAGGTTAATAGATGCATGTCTTCTCAAATGTGCCATGCATAGATTACTTGGTGCATGGTTTTTAAACAGGTTTACTTTATAGTACTGGCATATTCACATCTGGCTCTGATGATTTCATCTCCCTACTCAGTCAGCCAGGCTCAGAAAAGATAAAATTGGCCAACAAGCTCCTCAGCTCGTTTCTGATGGCAGCTTCCACTGTCCCTGAACCTTTAGTAGCAGTAGAGCGGCCTGTGTCCCAGACACAAGGGTATGGGGTGGGGGTTGGTACAAAGAAATAGAAGAGGTTTGGAGAGGCTCCCTGAGGCCTGAGAATAACCAGTTAGTAAGGCAGTCACCCTCTGGCAGGTTCAGTGGCTTTCAGCTGTAAAACTCCAACAGAAACCAGTTTTGGAGTCAGGCTCAAAACCTACAGAGCCCCCCCTTCACTTCAAAGGAATTCCTTAGGAAATACCTTTCTGCTCTTCACATAACACCCAGCTGACATCTAGCCCCTGGAAGCTAACTTCCAAGAAGTCCAACTCCCCAGGGTGGCAGAGCAGGGTATCTTCTGGGCTCACAGCCTGGGGGTCATAGAAGGGGGGATTAATGTAAGGGACAGTGCCTCTCTCTCAGAACCATCTCCACATTGAGGTCAAGGCTTGAAGGCCCACCTGAATTTGCTGAGAGGGAAAGTTCTTTTCTCTTCAGGCAGACACTTCACAGGTTTGGCCCCCTGGCCCTGGGAGGTCAGAATGGGGGACAGGGTAAAACAGGGGGTCCAGGTATTGCTTGGCAGCTAGGTGAGCTCTGCTCAACACCAAGCCCCTTCAGGAAGAGGGCCCAGATAGAAGCCCTGATTGCCCAAGCTTCTCTCCCCAAGGCATCTAAAACCTCACAGCTTCCCTATCCTTCAGCCTGGAGAGTGACAAAGAGATCCTTGGAGAGGACCTGCCACCCCTAGACCAGGTTGCAGGGCTGAAGGCTGGGGGCAAAGGGTAGGTGGAAGGTCTCTGCCGGAACAGGCCTGATGAAGGTATGTGGATGGAACACATTTGTTCTGCCTCCCACCTCAGAAGACAGCCCTTTCTGTTCACTAGGTCCTGCCTCATATTCTCCTTCCTAGAAATACTCTTCTCTCAACTTTGAACATTTCTGTCATGTCTATGTGTGTGTGGACAAACTCCAGGAAGTTCCCTAGATCAGGGCCTAGAGGGCCTCTTTCCACAACCCTCTCCCGGGACACTGACTCAGAGGGCACCATCCAGAATTCTCAGTTTTCTCCACCAAAGCAAAGTGTCCAAGCAATGGAACCTTCAGGACCAAGGACAAAAGGCTTGGAGGCAGATCGGGAACTGCTCCCTCATCTCCTTCATGTTCCCTTCCCTCTTCTACATCCCCACCCCAACTCTTGGTCTGCCTTCAGTCCAGGTGGCCTTGCTTTCCTCCTGTCAGAGAAGAAAGGCGAATCCTGTAATGTTTGGGCACTGTGGCCATCTCTACACAGACACTCAAAAGAATGGGTTTGTTATAGGGACTTTCAGAGACACGTGGCAGTTGAGAGACTTTTGACAGGATGGAACAAGACTTCCTTTTATTGTTCCCATCACCACCCTGAAGGAGCCCCAGGGCTGAGGGTCACACCAAGGGCCCAAGGAGATGAGGAATTCTGGGAGGGAGAAGACCACAGCTACTTCCCATGGGAGAAACTTGGGGCATGAGGCAGCGCTGATCAGAATCCGAGAGGCAGAGAACTATGAAGAGGAGCCTTTTTGTTTTTTTTTTTAAACTGTGCTTTATTTAGGGCTAAGCTGGAGAAAGCGTCATCCAATAGTTACAGAAGGTTACAAGGAGTTTTAGGGAGTTGAGTGTGAAAAGAGCAGTTGTACTGAACTGCAGCTGTTTTGTTTTGTTTTGTTTTTACAACATTTGGACATCCTAAAAGGAGGAGTCAAGAAAAAGAAAAAGAAAATTAAAACAACAACAACAACAATAACAAAATTGACAGAAAGGAAAGACAGAAGGCCTGAGAGGAACCAGAAATTTGTTCTTCTAAAAGAAAAAAAGAAAAAAAATGATAGGTCCGCAAGTCCCTCTGGCCTCCAGATGAATTGGACATCAATGAGAAGTTATTGAGGCAGAATGCCAAAATAAGTCTTCCCAACGGTGCAAATAAATTATAATAAATATGATATACTTTAAAATATATGTGTTCTTAAATAATTCAGTGTTTTTTCTGATTCTGAGTTTTTAAGCAATGTCTTTAACTGCTCTAAAGTCATTTACCAAAGATAAATATCGTGCTTTCATTAAATAGTTTTCCTTGTTTTTTCTCTATCATTACAATTAAAAGTCCTACAAAATATGCAAATTTATTTACAGAAAAACAGAGCCGGCATCATTTAAACATCCCTGTTTTTCAAAATTCCTTGTAAACAGTTTCAGAAATTCTTCAAAGATTGTTTATTTTTCTCTCTCTCTTTTTTTTAAGGTTTTTGTGTGTGTGTGTGTTGTCTAGTTGTTTTAAGATGAAAGTTCCCAGTTCTCCCTTGCCCGGAAAGTCTCTGGAACAAGCATGGAAGGCGGCGAGTGAAGCGGGAGGTGTCGAGGGCTTGCGGAAGGCAGGCGGGCGGGCGAGCGAGCGAGCGAGCGCGGCTCCCGGCTCCCCTCCCGGGGCAAAGCGAGAGGCGCGGGCGGCAGCGGCGGCCGGCGAGGGGCCCTTCCTGGCCCGTGGCGCGCAGCCTGCAGGTCTGGGAGAGGCCGGCCTGGCCCTCGGGACGACGGCGTCCGACAGCACTCGAGGGGAGAAGGGATTGATGCTCAGTCTAAACTCTACAAAAGTACAGTCCTACAACATCTGGGATTTTAGCAGTAACGCTAACTTCTATAGGTTTTTTTTTTCCTTTTTTATTATTTTTTTTTATTTTTTGCTTTCCTCTAATTTTTCTTCTATTATATAGGTATTTTAAACTTTTCCTTTTTAAAATTCTGTACAACTATTATGATTTTAAGAGGGGGAAGAGAAGCATTTACAGACTTTTCACAATTACCTTGCCTTGGAAGTTTGTTTCCCTCCCGTGTTCTCACACTTCACAGTTAATGAGTTTTAATACTTTTGTTGCTTTCCCCAAACATCCAGCAATGTGTTCATCTTAACAGCTCCATCCAGACATATAATACAGAAAACCATAGGAAAGTGTCATAGACTTCAATGAGGGTAATCAAAGCGCCTCTCAAAGTATCAAAGAACTAGTATCTTGCTGTTTCAAAAGCATTGAAGCATTATTATTTTTTCTTTTTTTTCTTTTTTTTCTTTTTTTGTTTTTTTTTTAAGTTTTTTTTTATTACATTTTTCATAGAATCGCTCTAGGCTGTTACAAGAACAGCCAGGAGGCAGGAAGGAGGTGGTTCTCCATTCCCCCTCTATTTGACATAGAGCTACACATCTGCAATAAAAAGTTTGGTCCTTTGGTCCCTAAATAGCTAAAGGAATGACAGAGATGCTCAGTGGCGGCCTCCTGGCCTCACCCGGGACCAGGCCCCACAGCACGCTTGCCCCGCCTGCCTCAGGCGCCCACAGGCTGGAAAAGCCCAGGGTTCGGTGAGCAGCAGCGTCTCCTCCCAGTGCCCAGCCCTTCAGCCTCCCCGTCTGGTCTCACGTTACTTTGTTTTAAAGTTGCCTTTTTTGTGTTTTTGTTTTCTCATTTTTCTTCGTCGTCGTCTTCTTTATGTCATGTATATTTTTTCCCCAAACACGTGCCCTCTGAACTCCATAGACGCTATACTTTCCTTGAAGAAATGTTACAGTCACACAGAGTGTCTGGAGTCTTCAGCTTGACTGATATTGGCTGATATGTCAAAGGTGTCATCCAACAGTTCTCATTTATAAATAGAGAGAGAAAGAGGTTTTTTTTTTTTTTTTTTAATGTAGCCCGTTCAGCATCCTGCCCTAAAATGAAGAAAATCAGGGCTGATTAAGCCAAAAGAGAAAACACAAATGCAATCAAACACCAATAGGAACCTGCCTTGGGGGAGTAGGATGGGAACTCTGGGGGATGGCAGGAGGGAAGGAAGAGAGACCAATATGAGAATTAGTCATGATCATGATACAGTCAGAAGAAATTTGCTCTTCTATTCAGAGTAAGAAACCACTGGGTTTCTAGTGGTGACGGGAATAGCTGAGGTTTAGTTGTTGGGAGAGTTCTTGATTTGGGTTCCTTTAGCATTCTGGATTGGGGGATGTCTAGATCTAAGGGAAGAATTTGGGACTGTGGGATATGAATTCATAATTAAACTTTTCCCTGAGGGATCTAGCCCAGATACAATATGTATACAGAAGCCCAGCAAACAAGAGAGCAAAAATCTATATACCTTACCCACTCCTCCCCAGTTTGAGGAAAAGAAAGAAGACAGAGCCTTGACTTGAATTTTGCAGAATCCTTTCCCAGTTTCCAGCCAACCACTTCTTTCCCGGAAGTCAATAATGATTTGCGAGGCTGTATATATATATATATGTATCTGGATATATATGTAGAATATATTCACCTGCACATATGTGGGTATACATGGATATGTGTATATGTATATGTATAGATACACACATACACACATGCATAAGACTTTTCTCATACATGCCAGGGAATTTACAGGAAATTCAGTACTTCGAGGGAATGGACAGGAGAACCTAAAAAAGGTCAGAACAGATTTAATTATCAATCTTAAATAAATTAACTCAGACAGTTCTTGATTTTTGTTTGGAGTGGTGGCATTTTGGTATTTTGTTTTGCTTTTAAGAAAAAAATCATGATCTGACTAGAATCAGAAGGCAAATGCTTAATTGTTGTGAATTAACAAATGAGACTCATCTCCATTCTAGCAAGCAGCTTCCACTTATACATGGGGTGACTGGTTACATCAAGAAAGTTAGAACTGCAAAGCCCCCAGTTGAGGGGACAAAGTCATGCGTATATCAATCCATGCTGGCAGGTTTTTCACACTGTTGATTCAACAAACAGCAAACCGTACACAGCAGTCTAAACAATTACAACACCAAATAAAATAATAATAAAATTAAAAAACACTTGTCAAGGACCCTTTTTCAGTTGTAAACAAAAAGGTGCATTTTGCTTTTGTCAGTACTGTTTCTTCCAAACCAACCAAAAAAGCCCTCCCAAGCCCCCAAGCCCCCACCTCCCCTCCCCGCATTGAATTTAGCAGAAGTGGCTATAATACAAACCTTACAATTGTTACCAGGCTCTCTGTCAGAGGCCTCTGGCTTTTACTCTACTTTTTTTTTTTTCTTTTTTTTTTTTGGTTTAGAATTTTTTTTTATCATTTTGTTACTGTAGATATTTTGGTTTTGGTTTTTTCTTTTGAGGTGAGATTTAAAATAGCCTAACTGGAAAAAGACCAGACCTAGGAAAATGTCAATTGAAAAAGGCCCCCAAATTTCTAGAAAAAAATAAAATCACAATATTTTCAAGTGCAAGTAAATCAACCACGCATAGATATTTTTAAGATGTTTTCCTTATTTTTAAGAAAAAAAATAATGGTTTGCATAGTTAAATGATCCCATGTTTGTAATTCAGGAATTCATCTTTATTTTTACTAAATTTTTGTTCTTTAGTTTTTTTTTTTTTTATCTAAGTGACATCTAGAGAAGCATAAAAAAATGCTGAACAAGAAAAACCAAACAACAGAAAGTAAAACCACTGCAAGCACCAAGAACAAAACGAAAATGAGCACAGCAAAAAAGATTGTGGCAGCACAAAAGTCAAGAAAATGCACGTGTGATCATGACTGGCCAATCATCAACGGATACAACATCCAAGAAAAACGCTCCAATCACAGCACCTCCACGAAACTTGACGGCAATTGTCATGCAACCGATTCTTAGCCTTGTTACATGACGCCATCATGTCACACTGTGAACTTTGAGTTGATTTGAACTTACGGATGGGGGACTTTTCTCCACTCTCATGTGATTACGTGAACTTTATTCCTAGCTCAGCGCGAGACTGTGGTGGATTTGACTGGCCCTGGTTGGGTTGTTGGAATTTGATTGAATGACAAAAGAAGAAAAGATTTATATATATATTTATATATGTAGAGAGAGAGAGAGAGAGAGGACAAGAGAGTTTGGGCAGGGGGAGGGAAGAGGCAGGGGCAGGTTGGGTGGGGTCAGGAGTGTGGTGGGGAAAGGAGAGTTGGGTTGAGGGTGAAGAAGGGCAAGGAAGAAGTTAAAACAAAATTAAAAGAAAAATATTTATACAGCACCAGACCACAGCATCAATCTAGAAGCTCTGATGAGAGAACGCAGTCAAATCATAAGGAAACTGAAAAGAACTCAAAGGATGAAGCCAGCGACAGACGACATGGGCACATCAACACACACACATACACGCACACAGCTGTTGATGCAGACACATGATACACTGTGAACAGCAGCAGAACCTCACACAGGGCCACTAAGGGCATCCATCATGCGTTGGGAAGAGGAGGCGGGCACAGGCGGTTTAGCAAGGGGGCCAGGAAAAAAATAAAACAGCCCCTCAAACCACCGTGGCCGGCAAGCAGATCTCAGGGAGCAAGCTCTGTTAACACCCTGGATTCTTTCTCCCCCAGATGCAGAGCTCTCCGTACCACCCCAGCTTTGCTTTTTGTGACTTCAGCCTGAGCACCAGCCAAGGGAGCCAATCAGTGGCCCTGATTGGCTGAACAGGTCAGAGGCCCAGCAAGGTGAATTGTGTCCCTGAGACACTCTGCTGTAGGGTCCACAGGGGCAGCAGCTCAGCCCTCCCACCTATGGATGCCACCTGGAACCCACCCTAGGGAAGAGTGTCTCCAGGCGACATGAGCACCCACAGTGGGATGGTATGATCCTTCCCCTTCCACTCTGCTCACACCTCTTTCCTCAGAACCTTCCAAAAATGAAGATGTTTCATTTTCAGATTTAGAGTAAATTACATTGATGTCTTGGAGTTCTTTAAACAAAGCTGGGCACTACTGATTTCACATCATTGGTTCACATCCTTTGATTTGTCCAAAAGGTGGCCAAACTGGGCCCATGAAGCCCTTGGAAGGCTCTGGCACATAAAAGGACCATGTGGAGGGCTATAAGGTGTTCTGCAGAGTAGGTCCGCCAGAAAGGGCTCCTTGTCCTCATTCTTCCTCTACCCCTTTGCCCCTCTACTGTTCCACCTCCATCTTTCCAGACTGTCTCCCCAGTTGGTAGGCCCTGACTTTTCTCTGTAGGTGGAGTCCTCCTGGCTAAGAATGAGCTCCCTTCTCTATCAGCCATCATCAAATTGCTCAGCTTTGTGCTGCCTTCTCCCTTGATCCTCATTTCATGGTCCTCTGCCTCCGAATCAGGGCCTCCAGCTCTGCCATGTCTCATGGCTATCTGTGAGCTTGCTCCCCATCATTCTCTGTTCCTCTGTAGCCCTGAAGTCTGTGCCAAAGCCTCTGTGCCTTAGACTCATTCACAGGGTTTCCAGTCCATCTCCCAGGCCTCCATACAGTGGACTTCCACTGTCAGTTTTGTTTTCCCTCCAGGAGAGTGGAAGGGAAACCTGGGGTCTTATAATGAAACAGTAGATAAGCTGGGCAGTAGCTGACCAGTGATTCTATTTTGAGCCCACAGCTGGCCTCCAGCTCAGCTTTCACAGAAACATTCCCAGCCTCCCTTCCTCTACAGACCCCTGCCCTGCCTGCCCCCAAGCTGGGTTCTGTTTTCTTCCAACACCAGCTCTCCTTTACTCAGACCAGGGCCTCCATCACATGCCCAAAAAGTCCTTAAAATGTCACTCTAATCTGCATTTCCAACCCTTGCAAAACCTCTCAGATCTACCCAGGGTGCCCACTTGGCAGGTCCCTTTGGCATGAGAAGGAGGCCTAAAGGAACCTAGGAGAGTGTTGTTGCCAGTATCAGCTGTGGTAACTGCAACTAAAGGACACCCTGAGGATTCTTCTACTTCCCTTCCACACCAGTTCTGGGCACATCATGGGCATTCATTCCTTCCTACTCTGCTTGCTCCTTTTCCCTCCCCCAGCTTTAGTCCACCTGGCCCTCAGTGCCAGGTACTGTCCTGGGTACTTGGACTCAACACAGAAAACATACAGTCTCTCTCCCCAAAGCTCAATGTAGGGAACTTTCTTACACATACCCTCATGGCTTCCACACATGTGGCCCCAGACACACAATGCAGCCTCATATCCATTAATCCCCCAAGAAACCTCTTGTAAACTCCCCCCACATACACAGCTGGCTATGCTCTTCATTAAGATGCAGCTGCATCTCTGTGTGACAGCCTCTGGGGCACCTCACAGAGCAGAGCACTGGAAGTGCCAATGGGGTCAGTGACCAGCACAGGGAAGCTTGGATCAGGTGGGAGAAGCTCCAACTCACTGACCTAGATGCGGAATTATGGCCAGGCTGAACCAATTCAGACACAAGATCCTAAAACAACTAAGTTCTAACCAGATAGGGCCAAAAGCCAAAGCGACAGCCCTATCCCACATAGGTCACAAGGGAACACCCATGCCTGCGAAGCGCACACCAGACATGGTGCAAAAGCACACTCAAGCCAAAGCCTAGAGCTACAGAGATAGGACTCCCACTTGAGTTCTCTTAGTGCTTTCTCCAACCACAGAACCTTAGTGCTCAGAGTCTGGGAACCAATGCTAGTGTTGGAGCCCAGTGTGTACAAGTCAACTTGGTGGTATGACAGGGAACTTGGAAGCCAATCTCTGACTTGAGCAGGTCCAGGGTTGGAATGCTCTGCCTGCTGGGTGTGGACCTTGTTATATATCCACGGTTTTGCCCACTCTTCCTTCTCTTGTTTCTTGGTACAGATTTCTTGGAGAAACTCCCATCTTAACATGAGACAATGATGCACCAAGCAGCCAGAGGGGCAGCCCCAGGGACAAGACTAGAAACCAATAAGGAAGAGACCTGGTCTCTCCCTAGCCCCCAGCGGGGGCATCACTTTTAAGAACTAAAGCCAAGGGCTGGGGATTTAGCTCAGTGGTTCCATCGCCTGCCTTGCAAGCGCAAGGTCCTGAGTTCAATCCCCATCTCCCCCAAAAAAGAACTAAAGCCAACTGTGTTCCCCATGGCTGCCCTGCCTGGGCCCCTCTCCTCCCCATATCTGACCCACTCAGATCTTGACTTTGCCTTTTACCACCAACCTACTGTGTTTCCAGCTCCATCAGTGCAGATGGCCACCTGGACCTGGGATCCCCCTCCTTACTACCTCTTTATCCCCTGCTGTGGCTGGTCCCCTTAGCTCCTGCTCAGGTTTCCCTGCCCTTCTAAGCATTATGACTCTGGCTCAGGCTCCATCATTTATAAACACCCTATATTAGCCTGAGGTACTGTCCAGTCTTTTAGCTGCTTTTTTGAGCCATTTCCTCTCTTGACTCTCCTCTCTTGCTCGCAACTCAAGGAGCAAACAGCCTGTTCTGTCTGCAGCCTACCTTGAGAAGCTCTTCCACCTCTTCTCAGCACCTTCCTTCTGTTACAGTTTCCAACAGTCTTGGATTGGGGAGCCTGAAGGCACCATCGCTAAATGCCATCTAAGTGCACTGCAGCATTCTGAGCACCTAACACAGAACCTAAAGCACAGTACTGCTAAACAAATGGAACATCTCCTATCACTTTCTCAGAAGCTGCTTTGCCCAGAACACATGGCCAGGAAGAGGAGCAGCTGTCTTCAGCTGCTAGGCAGGTCCCTGCCTGAGCAGACAGGTGACAACCACCCACCCATCATGACCCACATAACATGCAGGGAAAGGGATTTCATCACCCCCCTAACTTTTGTCCCAGACTGTTATTTCCTGCTAAAGTTCCCTTTGCCTGCCTCTTGGCCCCGACTGAGCTATGGGCAACTGCAGGGTTAGGGGTAAGGGGTGTAAAGGCTGCCAGCCCTCCTGGCAGGACCAGGCAGCAGAGCGCCAGAGAGTCTAGGAGATTGCCCCAACCCATGGCTACAGCTCTCTTCAGGGGCTGAGCTTGCCGCCCAAGGGGCAACCAAGGACTGCCAGTGGAGACCTGAGGCACAGGCACAGGCTCACCTCACCTTCCCAGACAGTTCCCTCACTCATGTCCCTTGGCCCGGGGCAAGGGGGACGATCGTGCCCATTTCTGCCAGGATGACCACAGCTCTGCTCCTGTCCTGTAGGCACTGGGTAAGGAGCAGGCTGAGCCGGGCGCATCGGGTCCAAGGCATCAGTGAGGGTCGGGCCCACGGAGGCCCAAGAAGGCGGCGGGTCTGTCTGGAGTCCCTTCCCAAACCTCCCGTCCCCACGCCCTGGCCGCCCCGGTTACCTGTGCGAGTCCTGGTCTCCCCCGGGGGACGCTCCCGCCGGCGCTCAGTATGGGCGATTGGCGTCTTTGGGCCGCTTCAGCTGCACCTTGAGCCTCTTCATGCCGATCTGGAAGCCGTTCATGGCCTGGATGGCGGTCTGCGCGCTGGCCGGGTTGTCGAAGCTCACGAAGCCTGGCGAGACACGAGGGACAAGAGCCTGGGTTTCCACGGGGCCGCTCCCGGTGGGAGGTGTGGGAGAGAAGGTCGAGCGGGGGCGGGGCGGAGCTCGAGGCTCCTCCCCCACGCCCGCCCCGGCCCAGCCCCAGCGCCCCCTCCTCCCGCGTGCGAGGTCCCCTCCCGGGCTGGGCGTTCCAAGACCCCAGCTCGCGGACCTGCGCGACCCCGCTGCCGGGCCACACCTCGGCTCTGGGTAGCGGCCCTCTCCGGGCGCCTGCTCCCCCAGGGGGCGCCCTTGGCCTAGCGGGGCTCAGAGAGCGCCCGCCCCCACCCCGGCTGGCCCCCGCCACCTCTGCCCTCTCCTTCGATGGGAGAGGGCGGACACACCTGCGGGTGGAGGAGTTTATTGGACACTGTCCTCCCTCACAGGAGGGGGCCTGGCAGCGGGAGGGCACGGGGTGCCGGCCTGGGGAGAGAGAGGAGTGCGAGGGGGCGGGAGGGGAGGCACCTCAAGAAAGCATCTCCACCGCCGTTTCCGGCCGCCCCCCCCCCCCGCGCCAGTGCGCCCTGCCGAGAGCGGAGGGCCAGAGGCTGGGTCCTCGCAGCCCCTCCGGCCCCACTCCCGCTCCTGCCCGAGGTGGCACGGCCGGCCGACGCGGGTAAATCCACATCCACTCGCATTAACCCATCACCTCACACCCAGGGAATGTCAGGAGCCCCTTTCACGGATGTAAAATTCCACGCCGTGGAAGCAGGGCTCTTTCCCTGGAGTAGTCATGCACCGACGGATATGTCCCCAACCCTTCAATACGTCTTTAATAACTATAATGGTAGACATTAACACTGTTAGTAAAACAGCATTGTTAGAAATAATAGCTGAGAGCCTTCTATGTACTCAGGGTCTGCAGAACTGCTTTCCAGACCTTCACTCCTCCCAACCTTCTAAGACAAATCTTACTGTGGTGGCTCCCAGACAACAGGAAATCCCCCAGATGGAGACTGGCTATATCCCCAAAATGAGTTTAGAAGCCAAGTTTGGGGAATGCATCTCCTCATAAAGACCACAATTTAAATCAGCATTTTCCAAACAGGCCCTACCTGGCCCTTGAGAAAGGGGCTTCTGTCAAGTAGGCTTGGAGCCAGGCCCCTCTGGGCCAGTTCAGGGAGCATTAAACAACATCCCCTCTCCAAGTTCTCCAGGAAAGAAATCCTTGTAACTGTTTCATCTAATACTTCCTTGAATTCATTCAACTTCAGAGATCTTTACCCTGTAAAACAGACTTAAATCCTGCAAATTACACTAAACTCATCTGGGTGAGATACCCAGCCTATCCCTGGGGTGTGCGACTAGACAGATGTAGGTAAGCCCAGGCCCCAAATGAAACAGGAGCTGTTGTCTTGATTGATCATCTGTGGTATCCTGGAACTGTCTGCAGCTTCACTCTAAGAGACACATCTCTCTCTCCCCACCTGGTGGCTCTTTCTCCATTTTTTCCTCCCCAAACCCAAACACTGCCACCACCCATCAGGCTCTTGTCTCCTTCCTGCTTTGCTCAATTTGCTTGTGCAGCCATGTACCATCGAAGGTGAGCAAGAGTTGTGTGCACGCATCTCACTTTTGCATGTGTGTGGACACGAGTACACATGAGCGATAGCATAACTGGTCAGAGCCAGGTCCAGAGCAACAAAACCAACATCTGTAAAGATCTTCATACCAAATTAAATACAAAAGATGGAGGATTATGCACAATTGGCAATTAGCCTCCCATCATTGTTCCAAACTCCTCCTGTCGTCCCCCCCAGCCATCCTTCTCTACTGACCTGTATGTCTGATGGTTAAAGTCAAGTGCCTAGCAGACTACTACAGGTTTCAGAAGTGTTTATACTGCTCTCCCCAGACTATGGGGATGGTCAAACTAAAACCTATCTGTCAGGACAAGGCAGCCTGACTGGGAGACAAGCTGTACCCTTATCGCTCCACTTGCACACTGGTGCCATGGGCACATACTCTACCTTCACACCTGGGCTGCCTGGCTCTGCAGAAAAGAAAACAAGCGAAACAGAGAGTAGAAGGAGGAAGACAGACGGGGCTGGAGTGGCTATCTGGGGGCTGGTGTACAGGAGGGAGGAGAGCCACTAGGTGTGGCAGGTCCTAGAAGGTTCTGGAGGGAAGCCCAGCTTCCCAGGAGAGTTTCAAGGCCTCTAGAAGCCTGGGCCTTCTAGATTTAGGGGAATATTTCTTCCCCGTGTAGATCTGTTAACTGGTTAGCAGTCAGGGCAAGCAGTGCCTGTCCACAGACTGGAGACCACGCTGGCAGGGTCCTGGGTGTCCTCTCCCGTGTTGACAGTTCCCAGGACAGTCCCTCTTCCCCCAGATCCTCTGCCTCATTCCCATTCCAACCTCTGGAAGCCCCTGGCTCCCAGACACTGTGGGAAGCCTCCCAGATGGGATGCCCTCCTGGTGTGTGTCCTCCTACCCCCAACCTGTCTCCCAATACAGGAACCATCTGTGCTGCACATATCCTCATGAAGGCCACTGGAAGGTTCTGATTATGCTAACAATTATGCTAACGCTTATCAAGAGTGAGTGCAGCCTTTGGAGATCCACTTTAACACAAGACCACTTTTATGGCAAAGGAACTGTGCTACTTCAGGAGAATCTGCTCAGAGAAAGCCCCTACTAGAGGTCACCTCAGGGGACCTCAGAGCATAACACACCCATTTCATAAATGAGGTCACCGAAGCTCACAGCGTTCAATGGCTTCCCCATGAGTGAGCGCTGGAGCTAGGTCTCATGGGACAGGTCTCTGGGAGAGTAGCGGCTGAAGTGAGCCAGAGAACTGAAGGGGCTTAAGGAGGAGCCACTGGCTGGGCTGTGGGGGACCGTCCTTTTTTAAGGACAGATGCTTAGCATTAGCATTTGATAACAGAAGAAAGAGGCAGTGCAGAAGTGTACAGAGAGTGATTTCAATGAAAAGCAGGAAAGCAATCTTGGTCCGGGAGAACTGACATGGGCCAATGGCTTACGTAGCTAAGACCTTGGGCCTTGGAAAACTCAGGCTGCACCTGCAGGGACAGCGCCCATGGACCCAGGTGGGAAGCAGCTGGAGACTCAGCCTGGCAGAGCCCACATGCCCCTAAGCTTCCTGGACTCCTGGCAGTTTTCTTCTCACTGACATAACATTTGAGACTTCAAGAGCAAATGTTACTGATTCTCTGTTATTTTTACGTACATCGCTGTAATTTATAAGGGAAAATACCAATCAGATGGAGGAGGGGTGTACCTTATCTTTTTCTGTTTCTCCACACCCAAACAGAAATGAGCTGCTGGAACAACTCCATGCCATCAAAGGACCACAGGTTTCCTAGGGAAGCTGCCAGAGTGGAGGGGACAGCTGTGCAAGATCTTCACTACTCTAGGGAACAAACCCTGAGTCCTCAAGGCCTTCATGGTCCTAGAAAGCTTGTCTTCAACTTGGAAATGTGTTAACATGTGCTTCCTGCTGCTTCTCCCTGCTGTATGTTCTCCACTCTCCACTTCCAAGCTGAGACCTAGGTTACCTGGCTAACACAGGCTCCCTCTTTCTCTGCACAGCCCCAGAATCTGGGGGCCAATCTGGAAACTGTGGCAGACTCAGCTCCGGTTCCATGGATGGCTTTCTGGGGACTGCACTCCTCTGTTCTCAGAGACTGGTGAGTGAATCTAGCCCCAGAAGGATGGGATAGAGGAGGAGGATGAAGAAGAGGAAGGACAGGGACTAGGAAGGAATGGAGGGGAGAGGTGTGAGGATGTGGGAGCATCCAGCAGGAGATCTAGAGTTTCCTGGATACAGTTGCCAGATTTAATAAAGAAAAACACAGGATGCCTGGTTTAGTGTGAATTTCAGGTGAGCACTGAATACTTTTTAAAATATAAGAATATCCCAATATTACATGAGACATACAGCATGCAATTTGTGGAACATACACGAAAAAGGATCCACTGTTTGTGTGAAACTCAGATTTCAGGGGGCATCCTGTATTTTACTTGAAAACTACACTCCTGGACCTTCCCGTCTGCTTTCTCCCATCTATCACCCTTTCACCAGGTGAATTTCCAGAAAGCTGCACTTTTGTACTCCCACCATCGTCTTCTCACAGCCTACCATGACACATAAGGCCCCCTCCTCAGAACGGCCAGAGCCCCCCCCCAGCACAGACCCTCCCTCTGTGGTCTCCAGCCAGCCCTCCTTTATCCCAAAGCCTCCTGCCACCTCGCTCCCTGTCCTTCACCTCTCCCCGTCCCAGCCCCGCACCTCTGCCCAGTCTGTCTTTCCTCTGCCTTCCTGATGGCTTCATTGCTCGGTGCCTCGCAGAGCTCACTGCAGTTCAGTAGCTGTGATTTCCATCTGGGCTCAGAGCTTAGGCTTCCTGAGGGCAGGGACCAGTCAGTCTCCTCCTGGCTCCTCAACAATGCCCAGCTCTGGGGGCCTGGGGATGGGTGGGAGGGGAATCACTGAATGGCAGAAGGGTAGCAAGGAGCAGGGCAGACAGAGAGGGGTGGCAGGACAGAGAGGTGGCGAAAGCAGCTGAGAGGCAGGTGGGTAGGGCTGGCTTTCCCCCAAGGTTCATGCTGGGCTCTACTCCAGGCTTGGGCTGGCTACTCGGGCCATGGGAGAAAAGGCTGCTGGGAGACTGGATGCTGTGGTTCTGTGCTGTTCCCACTCCTGCCCAAGGGGCCATTCCCTTTCTCAGCTGGGTGGAGCTGGGCCTCTTGGCTGGAAGAGGAAACTCATTTCTTGGGTTGGTATGTGGGAGGTGGGAGCCAGGTTGGGGAGAGTGGGGAGGGAAAGCTAAAAAGCAAAAAGAACAGCAGAAGAGAGAAGAGGGCTGAGAGATGGACGCTGGGCCAGGGGAACACCTGGGGGCCATTTGAGGAGCAGGTGGAAGCAGTTGGACACTGGTAAATTGGTGCAAGTGGCCCCTGTCCTAGGTGAAGCTAAGTGGTTGGTTATCTTTACCCACCAAAGCATTTACTTTGGCTAGTCGCCCGATCCACAAACACTTTCGAGGAGATGACATTACCGAAAGGGAGGAACATCTGCATCAGCTCAGCGTCCCCAAACTCCTGGGGCAGATGGTAGATGAACAGGTTACAGCCCTCGGGCCCTGCGGTGAGGGGAGGGGGTGGGCAGGGAGGAGGGATGGCAGGGTGGGGGAGAGAGAGACAGAGGAGAGGTGAGCGAGTTAGGCAGCGCAGCAGGGAGGGGTGGGGTGAGGTTAGGAGGGAGGGTCACCCTGATCCAAGGGTCACCCTGAAGAGTGGGGGTTGCTGAGCCCCAAGTCTAAGCTGTAGTCTCTGCTTTGCCTTTGGGCAAGTCTCTGACCTCTCTGCCTCATTTGCCTTTTCTGTAAAATGGATCCAAAACAGGGGACCTGGCAACTTTGGGGCTCAAGGGTGTAAGTTGATGAGAGAATGAGGTGAACATACCAAAGCCTGGTCAGCTGGGTCCCTGGAAATGGGTCCTGATGTCAGGGAGGAGGAGAGAGATTTGAGGACCCCCCTCCTGCCCAGCCCCTGTCCTGGGGAAGGCAGAAGGAATGGCCCTGGGGCGGCCATGCCCTGAGTTGTGATAAGATTCTTCCCTTTCTAAAGCCTCTGCAGGCCCAGCTCAGACAGGCACCAGCGTCACCTGTCACCTCCCAACTGCCCTGTCCTGTACCTCGCCCTTCCTGCTAGTCTTGAAGGCAGCAAGCAAGATATACCCTGCTTCCTCCAGCAAGCTGCGTGACTAGCTAGGGCACCCTGGAGCCTCACTCCACGCAAGGGTCTTCATTTCCTATAGCAGTAACAGCCCCGCCACTTCTACGGCGTGCACCCTGTGTCAGGCTGTTCTGAGCCCTGTATGTGTGTGCTAAGTCACTCCATCCCTGCAGCAACACTTAACTGTCATCACCACTTCACGGATGAGGACGCTGAGGCCCAGAAAGGTTAAGTCACCTGCTGAAGGACACAAAGCTGGTGATGGTGAGGGGATGGAGCCAGGACATGAACCTAGGCTGTGGCCTCCATAATATGTGCTCCTCTCTTCTTGTCATAAATCTCACCCCACTCTCACGGTCTGTAAGTACTGTGGAGGTCTCTGGATTTCTGGAATTCCCAGAAAAAAATTTACATATTTCTTTTTAAATGGCAAAAATGCTCAATTTAACTCTCTGAAATGGAAGGCCTTCCTAGATGCGTGGTCTATTTCTGCCACCTTAAAGAGCATCTGCCATGTATCACTTAACCCTCTGAAGTGCCTTGTGGCCATTTCAGTGATTGCATGCAACCTCTGGTGGGATGAGAAGCAAACAGCTGCACTGAGAGTTGTGTGAGAACTGGGCTTCTGATCAGAGGCTAAAGGAAACCTAAACCTGGGCTGAAAAGTGCAGGCTGTAAAGCACCAACATGGCCCACTACGCAGCTTTCGCAGCCAGATCAAATGTTCTGGTTTGTTGGGACCAGTGAGACTGCCAGATAACCCAGATCTGGAGCAGAGAACTTGCTCTGTATTTTCTCTGTCCCTTCTCTTCTTTCCCTCCTGTCCCTCCCACCTCCTCCTTCCTCCTTCCATCTACCTCCACCCCCTTGAGGCCCACAGTCTGTACTGAAGACTCCCCTGCCCACCAAAGCCACCCAACTGAGCCGCTGACCTCCCTAGGTCCCTGGATCACCCCCCAACCCCCGCGAAGGCAATATGCCAGTGGACGGCGCATCCAGAATCAGGCACAAAGGCGCTCCCTCATCCCCGACCCCTGAGCTCTGGGGTCCTCCCCTCCCCTATAAGCTCCAGCCATGTTCTTACTGGTACATGCTGTGTGAATGTACCCTGATGTCTCTGGCTAGATCGGAGCCTTCTGGAGGTAGGAACCTGCTTTGAGTCCCAAACTAAGTCACAGCTTCTCCAGGCTTACCCACCATCTCTCCCTGACAGTACCTCTGGGCTCCCCTTGTGATGCCCCAAGTCCATCCTCCACCCTCAGTGGATTGGGGCTCTTCCTCCATAGCTGAGATGCTTTCTCTGACCTCACTGGTCACTGCCTAGGTGAGGGGCATTTGCCTCCTCCTATCCTCCTGCCCCCTCCACCTCTGGTCCAGCACATGCTTTCCCACCTACCCTCATTCTCCTCTCTCTGGGCTTCCCTGATGGTGACTTCATCCCACGCTGACACCTGCCTTGAACTTGGGGCCCTTGCTCCACGTTCAAGCTTTGCAAAATGCTTCTTCAGGATGTTATGTCTGTTCTCATTAAAGCAACAAGGAGCCTTTGAGATGGGGCCATAGGCTCAGTCCTACCTGGGAGTCAGGCTAGCAGCTCTAGCCCTCTACTCTCATCAGTGAGCCTACAGCCCAGGCCCTTCCTGCAGTCCTTCATTCCCAGATTACAGAACAGCCGGAGGGCAAGACTGGCAGGATATCAGAAAGCAATCTAGCCCAAGCCAGAGAAGCAGTGACACAGAGCTTCAGAGACAAAAAATGGCTACCCCTGACCACACTGCAGCCTCTGGCAACCCCAGCCAGAGCCATTCCTAAGAGTGGCATTGTCCCATCTGTGCAGCAGATGACCTCAAGAGGATTCAGGAACCTGTCAGTTTTCAGGCTCATCTCAGAGACAAGGGGCTACCTGGAGGGTTTCTCCCAAGCAACCAGTGTGTTCTGATATTCAGTGGCACTCCACAGGGAAAGGTGGCCATGATATAAAAGGCTGACTAGTGGCAGGGCCATGGGAATACAGCTCTTTCTCATCTTGTCCCCTTACAAACATGGAGTACCGCTTTGGTCTGACTCCAGCCCACCTCTCTGCTGTCTGTCTCCCCTGCCCCAGGCTCACCTCATGCTCATTCTTGGTAGCATTCTTTGCTCCTGCTGTGTCCTGCCTAGAGCACCCACATCCCACTCTATGTGCTGGAGATTTCCTCCTCCTTCCAGGGCCATCTCAGTCTGCCCCAGAAACCCACCCTGTGTCATGATCCCACATGTGGTTGAAGCATGGTTTTGTTGCTATCAAGCCCTACCTCTCCCTACTTCCTGACCCCCTTGGGGTAGCTCAGCCTGTGCATTATGGCCAAGGAGAAAAGGGGACAACCACGGGAGATCCCTTGCCCTGAGGAGAGGGAGTAGGGACTGGTCCACAGGGCTGGTCCAGGGATCAGGGTGCCCAGGTGTGTGTGTTTTGTGTGTGTATGTCTGAAGCTTCTCCAAGATGAAGATGGTATGAGAAGGAGTTCTGAGCTGGATGCATGGGGTGATACAGAGCAGGAGGTGGGAAGGAGGGACAGGAGGCAGGTGGGGGCCTGACTTTAAGGCCAGTGGTGGGGGCTGTCCTGTTTGGTGGGCAGGGTGGCACTGACCTGCCGCTGCTTCTGCGTGTGTGCGTGCGTGCGTGTGTGAGTAGTAGTAGTAGTAGTAGTAGTAGGGTATAGAGACTCATGACACCACAGGCTACAGAGACATAGGCCAGAAGCCTATGGGATGACACTGGCAGTACCAGGGCATGTGGGCACAATTCTCAGTTCTCTACCCTAGGCCTGGACTAGGAGTCTTAGGCCACCACCTGTGCTAATGAAAGCTTGGACTGGGAGAAGTCCAGGCCCTGTGCTCCCACCCAGGGAAGAGACTCCTGGGGAAGGAGAGCTCATGGGCCACCTCCTACCCACTTCACTTCTTGATAGGGAAACCAGTTACTACTCAGCTGTAGCAAGGGCCTAACGTGGGCAGGAGCCCTCTAAGTACCACTCTAGGTTCTTGCAGCTGGGCTCTCCTGGGGATGGGAAGATCTGATGACCCAGGTCTTGGGAGCTTCCTAATGAATGTGAGCTGGACTGGCACGCCTCATGAACAGGTTTGGAGGGGGCGACCATCTGGTAGAAGAGGGTTGTGTGTAGATCAGATCCTTGCACTTCAGAAGGCAGACTAAGCAAGTTTGACCCTCACACCTCTCCAGGGAATGGTTCTCACTGTTCTCAGTTCTCAGTTTACTGGTGAGGACACTAAGGCTGAGGAGGTGAGATGACCTGTCTAGGGTCACATGGGGAGGACGTGGCAAAGCTAGAAGTCAGACTCAGAAGGTTGCTTCAAAGCCTAGGCTCTCAGCTGCTCAGCCTGTCAGGGGTCTATTGCACCAAAGGGGTTGGGACTAGCAGATGCCCAGGGTCCTTTCTGAGTAACCTACATTCTGGGGCTCCAGGTCAGTCTGTTTACAGGGGCCATGAGCCAGGCATCTGAAGACCACTGGAACTCCCTGCCACCCAAGCCAGGGGATCTTGCCTACTCTGCTCAGTTCACACCTGGACCTTTGGATGTGGCTTTCCAGGACAACCTCCTCCCAACCCTACATCACTAGACCTGCACTGGGGCCCTCCCTTCCTTGTGCCTAGTCCTGCCGCTGGAGTCCTACTGGGAGCTTCATGTGTGTCTGCTGTTTACCAGAGGGCACAACAGCTCCTGTCCAGAATAAACTAATCCCTTTACCTGCCTCCCCAGCCATAAGCACTCACTCCTCCTTCTCATTCCCTCTGGCCAATCCTGCCCATCTCCTGAAGGGCCTCATTTCCTTGACCACCTCAGGCTATTCACCCTTTCCTTCCCAATGCCCAAAGCTGTAAGAGCTGGTGCTGCAAAAGTCACTACATTGTTGGAGGGTCAGCTCCCACCGGCTAATGCCCTTAGCTCCTTGGGAACACAGGGGTGTGACCTCAGAAAAAGACTCCAAGGAAGACCTCTATCTCCTATATAAAGCTGGCAACTCCTTGGCCCAAGGGCAAGGCCTCCATTGGAAAACACACACCTAACTCAGCTAGGTTCTCTTTAAGGGCTAGTTCAAGGGCTTGCTAGGGAAGGAACACAATCCCAACCATTCTCACGGACTTTTTAAAGACCAAGATAAACAGTTTGTGAGCTGTGTCAGAGCAGTGGTAAATGATGGAGGGGAGCAGGAAAGGTGTATGGCCTGCCAGCGCCTTCAGGGCAATCTGTCCATTCCCCTACCTCTGGGCCAGTATGCCACTCTGGTCTGTGGAACTGCCCACAAGCTGCACACCTCCATTTGTGGGTAGGAGAGCGGAAAAGCGCCGCATCTCACAATCGTGCTTTATTCCCCCACTCACCTCCAGACATACACACACATAGATGTGGCTGCCTTTCCAACCAAAGGCCAAGCCAGAGACCCAGTGAAGCCAGAGGCCCAGGTGAATAGCCCCTTGGGGACAGGGGGAAGGGAGGGGCGGAGACTCACCTTCTCTCTGTTGCTGGGGAATCATTGGAGGTGGCTGAGGAAAGGCCTGGCTTATCTGACCATAGGCAGCAGGGTAGGCAGCTGCTGGAGGGCCACCGAGAGGAGACGCGAAGGCAGCAAGGGATGCAGAAACAGGGTGAAAGGCAGGAAGAAAGAGAGATTTCAATGTTGGGTAGTAAAGACTGGCCAATTATAAGGTACATGTCACCTTGGCCATTTCGGAGAAAGCAACTTTCAGTTTTCAGTGCTAGTGAAAGCAGAGCCACAATGTGACTCAGAGACCTGTGCGCATGCGTGTGTGTGAGAGCATGCGCATATACTTGCGTTCGTACCTGCGTGCATGTATGCGTGTATTTCTGCCAGCCTACGTGGGTGCGTGCATGCGTGGAAGTGTGCGTTCGTGTGTGTGTGTGCGTGCGTGCGTGTGAGCATCCGTATGTGTGGGGCAAGCAAGCTTAATCTGGGGCAGTGGACAGGAGTGATTTACCTCACTCACTGCTACTCAGATGGCACTGGGAGGTGGGGAGCCGCTGAGGTGTGGACTTGGCTTTCGGGGTCCTCCCAGGGATAAGACCCAGGGGCAGAGAACTGAGTAGGTCACCTGGTGTCTTTTGTATTTGGTTGGGAATGGTCAGAGCCAGGACAAGAATAGCCTGCTCCCTCCTCAGCCTGGCCTGGCTCCCACACCCCAGGACCTGGGAGAGCTTCCCCTGTGCTTCACGGCATCCCCTGAGCCCTACCTTGCCAGGCAGCCTCATCACCCTCAGAGGAGACAGGGCTGACTCTGAAGACAGCGAAGAGGAATCCTGACCAGCCAGACAACGAGGTACAAGCTGGGCGGGCATGAACATGGGGTACCTCCCTCCCAGACCAAGCACAGGAGAAAGGGAGAAGCTTGGCTGATGGCTGAGCTCGGTGATCTCAGGCCATCTGTTGGCCCCAGGCTATCTTTTCTCACCTCTCCTTTTTTTCTACCGTGGGCTGCTTCTCCTTCTGACTCCCTATCATGCTTCCTTGGCCTGATGGGCTGGCAGAAGCTGCTTCCCTTTCAGAATACCCTATTCTCAAACCCAGGCATCTGTGCTTCCTGGGCCAGGATCCCTGGGCCAGCCAGGCTCCCAGTGGTGCTGTGCAGCTTGGGGCTCCTAGGCAAACTAGCCCTAGAAGTACCATGGGAAAGGGAAATCGGACCCTCAAGACAAGTTGCTGCACAGCAAAGACAAACGCTTCAGCCTGGCTCACCAGTTCTGCCCACCACCACCCCACCATGTTGGGAAAACTCTGCCCTACATGCTAAGGAACCTGAAAGAGGGAAGCAGCCCAGACACGGATGAGTGTATGGAGTGGATGGGAGTGTCTCTGCCAGCACAGCCCTCCCTCCTTCCACTGAGGCCACTGCCACTCCCTCTTCCCACCCCATGTAGCTCTGGGCCCAGGTCTGAGGTGCAAAGGGGGCACTGGTTCCATGGGGATGGAGATGAACGCAGCCAGGGTAAGAGCTGAGGGGTCGCACAGATACTAACGACCTGCATACTGCTGCACTCCGGCGTAGGCCTGCTGCAGGGGGTCCGCGGCGGTGGGGCTCTGTGCTGCAGGGGAGCCAAGGTGCAGAGGTCAGTGGTGCCCACCCAACATACCCTTGCCCCACCACACATCAACGCTATAGCTACACTCCTCTTTCCAACCACTGCAGGCAGAGCATCTGAGAAAGGGACTCTGAGTGCTGGGTCTGGTGGGAGGGCATCATTCTGTGGCCAGAGCCCTTAGTAAGGTATAGGTTGCCCACCTTAGCTGGGGGATACAGCGTGTAGCTGGCCTGGGGTAAGGGAGATGAGGTTCATGCGGAAGACTGACTGGGCAGGAGATGCCAGAGGAAGGCTCAACCACAAGGGCCTTGGTGGGTACACACATGAGGGACCCAGCCCTGGGGAGGGGCTGGTGGCTGTCACAAGTGAGGCTTGTCCTCATTGATCCTCAGTAGAAGTCAGGAGCAGTGACTGAGGGAAAAGCCTGTCAGATCCCATCTAGGTGAAAGAAAGGCCACAGGAGGGTTCACCCTGCCACTCTGACCCCTGGGCCACCCATGCCTGCCGAGGACTCATCCCTGATTCTAGGGAATGTGCCTAAGGCATAGCCTTGCTGCAGACTCTCCCATCAGGAACTGGCCTGACAGGTGGCAGCTGCCGACAGGCTGGGAGAAGTGCACTGTTCACAGAAGCACAGGAGCCAGAAGGCCAAGGATCCCCCCCCCCACACACCTGACCTATAGCTCTGGGATGTTTACCACCCAGCACAAGGAAAGGACCCTTGAGCTCAAAGTCTGACAAGAAACTTGAGGAAGCTGAACTGAGGGACAGGCTCAATTCACCTCCATAGCTTTTGTGCTCTGAGTAGCTGTGGGTAAAACGTCTGAAGCATGGATCAGCAATGGGCACAGCCTTTGGTGGCCAAGGTCAGTGATGACAGACATGGGAGTAGGCTGGCCTTGGAAGCTCAGGGAGGCAGGTGACGACAGATGCTCACTATCAGGGCCCAGCCCCAGTATGCTTGGGCAAACTGGGTAACACAGGCTGGTGGGAAGTCAACCCTCAGGGTTCATCTATCTACCTGTTGACCTAGGCCAGCCAAGTTAACTGGCTATGCTAGGATTTGGGCCTTTGGGGCCAGGAAGAATTCCCAACTTCCCTTTTGAGATCTTGTCTCTGAGCCTTTGGTAAAGTTCCATTAGGAAATAGTCCTTAGACCTCAGGGGAGCCCAGGGAAAGGGGGATCCAGGGGCAGAGGTCCCTAGAGACAGTGAGTGGTGGGTTTGATACTCCCTAGGAACCAGGACACAGCAAGGGAGCTGGCCCACAGGGACTGTGCTCAAGAGAGAAGAGCTAAAGATGAGGAATGAGGCAGGCTCTTTCTTGCCTGTAGCTGTGCCAGGCTGATACCTTGCCCCTACATTCCTCATGCTGGAACCTGGATCCTAAAGCTCCCCACTGTGATGTGCCTGGCAGTGGTCTCTTTCTGCTTTCTGCTCCCTCTGCTGGTCTATTCTGCCAGTCCCTGAGCTCTCTGGAGGGATAGCCATTTCTGGCTATCCTTTTCCTCACTCATGCAATGCCTTTATGAAAATTAGAACTAAGTGCCCCTTGCTCTGGGCACACAGGTTGGTGCCTTCCTGCAAATCACAACCTGCACAACCTACATGGCAGTCCTCCAGCACATAATAAGTGCTCAGCAAATAGGGTGACAGAAGGAATGAATGAACAGTCTTCCATGTTTGTGAGAGCCACAATTTCAAGGGTGTAATGTGACAATAAAGGCCAGACAGTGTGCTTCCAACACGCTCTCAGTGAGCAAAAAGGGAGAACAGAGAAGCTATCTGTGGCTAGGAAGTGGAGAAAAGCACTCACAAGACCCTCTCTGCTTCTTTGCTTAACGACCTCATTAGTAACTGCCAAAGAATGAACATTTTGAAGGATCTCGCTCATTACAGCAGCTCCAAACTCCGCATTTAAAGATGGTAAATTAATTTTTTTAATGTACTACTTTTCTCCTTTCCTTCCCTCCATCCCTCCCTCTTGCTCTGGCAGGGAATTGTTTATGGGATGTGGCAGATTGTTACAAATGGGGGAAAGAAACATTTCCAAATTCCATGAGGGAAATAGCTCACAGATGCTGGTGGGGGCAGGGAAAGAACAGGTTTGTCAGAATCCAGAGATCGGGATGGACTTGGAGGCAGAGAGGAGAATGAAGCCACCCAGATGTGCTGGGGTGGCATCGCTCAGACCCATGAGCCAAGATTGGGGGGTCACTTCTGCCTGCAGCTTGCTAAGCCCCTCACTTCCTTCCTCTACCAGTCTGGAATCTTCACCCATAAACAATACTCCGGATCCTTTGTGCCTACCACATTTCTCTCTGGACCCCTCAGACTGCTGTTCTGTGGACTGAGAGTTGCACTGAGGCCAGCACTAGAATAAGTGGGGTCAAGAACAAGTCCATGTTCAGACTCCTCCTCTATTTCCCTCTAGCACAGGGACCTGGCACTGTGCTGCTGGTGGGTTTTATATATTACCTATGTCTGGGCTTCACTCCAGACAATGAAATCAGAATCTCTGGCCTTCCGTGGTTTTATCAAGCTCCACAGTGAATTCTATGGCCATTCAAGAGTGGGGAGCATGACTACCCTTCCTGTAGGTCTACTCAGGCTGCCCTGCTTGTCCTTACTGGGTCAACCTCCTACTACTCTTACCTCTACTGAACAGGCCCTTTCTTGCCTCTGCATCTCCAGGACAGCCCCTGACCCAGGAGTGTGCTCCTTATTCATCTTCATCTCTCCGTTTCCTGCCCATCTGTTAAAGTCTGATCTAAGCCTCCTTTTCAGGGAGGCTGGTTAAAGCTTCTTTAGCCTACAGAGCTCTCCCCTCATGTGAAACTTTTGGCATAGTAAGTCTGAAAACACTCTTTTTATTTTTTAATACTGAGGAACCCAGAGCCTTCACACTGAGCTACATCCCCAGCCCATTTTTAATTTTTTTTAATTTTTGAGATAGGGTTGCTAAGGCTGGGCCTGAACTTTTGATCTTCCTGCCTCAGACTCCCAGAGTGCTGGGATTACAGATATGTACCACCATGTCTGGCCAAGAACATTCACTGTTGACCAAACTTTGTTTTGCCTTATTGTTTCATCATTCTGTGACTTGATATGTTCCTGACTGGAATCAGGCCTCATATTCTGCCCTTGTTCTGGGACCCTTCTTTCATCTAATACTTATGTGGACCTATAACCTTGTCCTCTGCCCTCCAGGAAGGGCACAGTACTCCTCATATCTCTATTACATTGCCTCTTGCTAGTCAAGGGCTTTGGGCCCAGCTTCCATCCCCTAACATTAGTCCATCCTCTAGCTAAGAGAGGAGCTGCTTCAACTCAATTGCATACTTTCACTACATGGGAGCTGCTGAGTGAGAGCAGCAAAGTTTATTGAAACAAGTCTCCTGGATCTTCTAGCACATCACTCACTTCATGAACAGCAGGCCCGGGGGCTGTCCAAGGTGCTGGGCTGCTGTCCAAAGAGCTGACCAGGGATTTGGGTGCACCAAGGGACAAGGCTGGTATATACTAGCTAGACTGCCAATAATTACACCTCCACTTCTTTCTTCAATGAGTCTTTTCCTACTTAACACCAAATCTCATTATTCTTTTAGTGTCTATCACTTTAATTCTTATAGCTCAAATTTACATTTAATTTGCAGTTACTAGCCTCTCTGCCTAGTTGTGCAAGTGTGTCCAGTGCCTTTTCTTCCCAAAGGGAACGCTTCACGTTGATCAAACAGACCTCTCCTCAAGGGTGGGATTTTGGTCTCTTCTCTCCTACCACAGGTTTCCTAAAGCAAGGCAGGAGGCTAACCCTCTTTGACACATTTAGGTTTCCACCAAGGAACAGACAGAGGGCAGTAGCTGCACATTCCTTGTTAGAACAGCAAGTGCGGGGACAGAATAGCGAAGAATGTGCTGCATGGGGAAGGAAAGCCTACCAGATGTGCTTACCTGGGTAGGGGTGGATGCCATTGGCAAATACAGCTTCTGCAGCAGGTTGCCCATTGGCCTGTGGGGGGAGGCCAGTGAAGCCGTTCACCCCAATGGGGGATGGGATGCTAGGCACGGCTGGTGCAGTTATGCCTGGAGGGGTGCTGCCACCTGGTTTCAAGAACACATAAGGGTTGGGGAAAAGAGGAGGCAACAAAACAAAGGTGAGAAGGCCAAACCATTGAGCTTTACCATGCTAGCTCCACGGGAAACTTGGGACTTGGACCTCACACATCATCTCAGTCTTAACTGTGAACTACGCCTTGGAGTATCTTTCTGTATGAACTGGCTTTGCCCATCACAGTTAAATCCATTTTTCAGGGCAGATTCCAGGTCTCATTTACTCCATAAAGACCACAAATGACTTGTCCTTGAACCTGTAACACACACACTATTCTCAGTGCTCTTGATTTTATCCACACTTAGCCCTCCTTTATTCTTTTTCAGTGGGTTTTGCTCACTCCAGCTAAGTCAACTTTAACACTAGGTCATGGGGCCAAGTATTTCCTTGTTTTGGGGAACTTTCATGTGCCTGGTAAGATGTATAACAATATTCTTGGCTTCTACCACCGGATTATAGTAGTATTCCCCACTCCCAGTTGTGACAAACAAAAATAACTCTGGAGATAGCCAGATGTCCTGTGGTGGGGAACAAAGACAATAACCAAGAGCCAATCAAAAGCATAATTTGTGACTGGGCTGTTTCCAACCCCTGCCTATTGAGGTGACTCTTATGGTCTTCTAGCTGGCTGTCCAGTTGTCTTGGAAAAGGCCAGTGAATCTAGGTTGGTTTAAAGAGAAATGAAAATGGGGCTCCTACAGAGCTGGAGAAAGGGACTGAACAAGGCCACTGAATGAGCAGGACTCTTCTCCCTTAGACCTTGAAGGAAGAGGTTTTCATATCGGTTTCCTTCCAGATATTGATTGTTGATAGATCAATATGGATTGTTTCCCAACAATTCACAGATAAACAACTTGAGACAAATTCTTACCACTCTGAATTCTATCATGGACAGAATGATACCACATCTTCTTATCTTTCCTTGGGTCATCCAAAATTAGAACATTTTGAGACAAAATGCCAAGCAGGACAAGGCCTCTTGGGTCCAAACACCATGTGCTCTTGCCCCAAGATGATCCACTGGTAGCTGAAATTAAGCTCCACCCCAAGCTTGGCCTGTAGTGGTACCTGCTGTCTCACCTGAGGTTGGGGTCATAGGTGCGGCCGCCAGGCCGTTCATGTTGAGGGCCGCCATCTGCTGCATCTGGGCGGCAGCGAAGGCAGCCATGGGGTTCAGGTAGCCACCCTGTGCAACTGATGCCATGAGGGCCGCTTGCTGCTGCATCAGCTGGGGCAGAGGGAGTGGAAAAAATATCACGTGCTTCCAGGGGGCATCCCTCCCCACCATGGGACTCAGCTCCTGGAGACCAATTTCCCAGGCCCTGAGCCTCAGGGAGCCTGAATAGTGCCTTGGCCACCACCCCAAGTCCTGATGCCACCCTCGGTCCACTTTGGTCATTAGGGGCCATCTTTCTGGGAGACGTCTGCATTCAAGGGTAATAGTAGGGTCTTGGGGGCTGTAATGTTCTAGGGGATGAGGGAAGAAGACTTGCTCCATGCCTAAGTCCTATCATTTTTGAGGACATGATACCTAAAGTACTATGAACATTCTAAATGAACCTATATAGCATTAACACCATAGGCTTCCACCCCAAATGGTCATGGAGTCTACTGAGTAGAAGAGACAGAATCATGAATAGCATCTAGGCACTACTGATTCTAAACCAAGGTGAGAGGGGACAGGGGAGGTTGTTGGAGGTGGCTAAAGCTGGACACTGCTGAGGAAATGAAGTGAGCTTGCATGTTTAGAACCAGAACCATAGTACTCCTCAGTGCCACCACATGGGGACTGTGAGCTCCGCGAGATGCTGTGAGAGTGGGCTTAACTGTGGGTGAAAGGTGAGCCACAGGCAGGATCTGAGGGGACTGCAGGGGAAGTGTGGGTGTGGAGAGCTTTGGGTCACTTAACAGGACCCCTGCCAGGAGTGACTGGAAGGGCTGGCACCACCCTTCCATGAGAAGGGGCGTGGGTGGTGATGAGGACCAAACATCTGAACCTCCCCTGTCCCATCAGTGCTGAGCCCTAGGAAGCAAAGGGAGAGTGGTGCTCCAGGCATCCCACTTCGCTGCCCTGCCAGGGACCTTCTCTCCAGCTTGAACTCTTAAGAACCAGGAGAGCAGCCCACCTCCTGCTGGCAGGTACCCCCAACTGGACCAGCCTTCCCCAAACCCCTTCGAGGTTACACTGCCTGGGCTTATGTTTGGCCCTCTTCACTCAGAGGGCAGAGTGGTATTTTCGGTTAAGTGCCCCTGTTCTTTGGGGATCCTGGGGGAGAGAGCTCCACAGCCACCGCCCAACCTTGCCCCCACTTACTGCCTGAGCATAGGCGCCGTAAGCCCCGAAGGGGATGGCCATGGGGTTGAACATGCCCATCTGGCCAGCCATCTGCTGCATTCGCCGCATCGTGCGCTCCTTGTCAGTGTCCGCGAACTTGACCACCAGACTGGATGAGGCTCCCTGCAGCCAGGGCGGCACGTGAGACCCACCTGGCTGAGCCCTCCACAACCCTCCCCCCAGCTGTCGGTGCCACTGGCCTAGGCCACCCGCCTTCTCTGTGGGCGATATCCTCAGGGATAGGCAGGAGTATGAGGCCTCAACCCCACCGTGGGCGTTTCTATCTGGGGTACCTCCGGGCAATTCCTTAACACATCCCGGGGCCTCAGCGTCCTTGTCTGAGAAACAGAATGCTTTCCTGTCTCATTCGGAGGGTGGGAGAACAGCTCTGCCCCAGCCAGGTTCTGGAGAGGGGGTCTCCTCCTCGGTCGCCACCGCTCAGCTCCGCCCGCAGGGCCACACTCACCGGCATGGTCTGGCTGCCATGCAGAGCGTTGATCGCGGCTTGCGCCTCTGCGTGCGAGGAGTACTTCACGAAGGCGCACCCTGCGGGGACAAGACAGGCTGAGCCACGCCCGAAGGTTCAGAGGGAGCTGGGACCCAGAGGCCCTAAGGGGGGAGAGCGGGTCCCAGGTGAGAGGGGAACAGGTGAGACAGAGCAGGAGACACAGCACGCAGCAGAAAGGCCCTGAGGGCCCGCGTTTTAGCAAGCAGGCCTTGGCCTCCTCAACAGTGGCCTTGGGCCGCCGTCCAGGCCTCCCAGGCACCCGCCCAAGGCTCCCTCTTGCTGGCCCACGCACCCTTGCTGTTGCCGTCTGGCCCGCGCAGGATGGTGCACTCCTCGATGTTCCCGAAGGCCTCGAAGAGGCGGCGCACGTCGTCCTCGGACTGCTGCTTATTGAGCATACCCACGAAGAGTTTTCTATCTTCTAGAACAAAATTAGGAGATGCTTACCCGGGCCAGGGTCCGGGCAGCGCCGGAAAGGAGGCCGGGGAAAGGAGGGCACGGCCGGAGGGGGAGGGCAGCGGGAGGGGGGGG